ATTGATATATATATATACTCTATATTGATATTCAATGAATTTATATCAGAAAAAAAGTTTAATAGGTTTTTAATTTAATGGTTAATACTATCGGCAATATTTGCAGCCCAGTACTGGCTCTATGTAACAGCCAGAGCTTGGCCTGTTTTGCAGCAGGTATTGGCCCATGTCTGTATTTTATATTGGCCCGTTATACGGCCCGGCTTTTAATCAGTACCGGGACAAGATTGTTTGCCGACTCTTGGCCGCCAATACTGGGCCAATGTTGGGCCAGTGAAATAATCTCGGCAATTTCTACGTGGGGATATGTACTAATAAATTAGTATGGCTCATATGTGTTAAATACAAATTTCAAGAAATAAAGGACTCAGAGCCGTGACAGGGTGGCAGTGTCTAAATATTTTATTCTAAGTTTATTGCGAAAAAATATTACCTCGGTCAGGGTTTGAACCTGGACCTCCCTCTCGCTAGGATACGTACTAGTTTTCAAAAATTATTTAATTTCAAAATATATACAAGGCGTCTCTAGATATTTAGTGTGCAGATATTCTTAAAAATGTCAACAGCTACGTGTACTAAACTCCTCACACACTTATAGCAACGTTGGGAATGGTTGCACCTTGCCACGCGCTTAAATTGAGCGGTAGACCGAGATAAGACAGTAATTCTTAATAATTCGTTAACTATTGCGAAAATTACAAAATAGTATAAGACTTTTTGACTCAGTTCAGTCAGCTCTATCTGCACGCAAAGAGTCCCAAATATTTAGAGACGTCCTGTTTTATAATAAAAAATTTTTCGTTAAGACACCCAGCGAGAAATGATTCGTTGATCGACGTCGAAATGATGTCGAATTGACGTCAATTCGACGGTGTCGATGTCGATTCAACGTCGTTTCGACGTCGATCGACGAATCATTTCTCACTGGGCAGTTGTTTTAGAACAGTACAATCTAAACTTTTATACTTCCTATATAACTTTACCCTTACAGAAATATAACAGAAAACGAAAAATATACTGAATAAAGTTCAGTAATTGAATTATTAAAAATTACTGATGTACAGTATGCAGTATGTATGTATAGCATGCCTCGCTACTTTGTCTGTGACCTGTGAACTTTTTCCTATTAATTCCTTGTCAATAGTTCAATCCTATTTTAACATGTATAATATTCATGAATTTATTACCCAAACAGCACCAATTAAGTCGACTATTAGTTGACTGTCAGTCGGCAACAGAAGTCTAAAGTCGACTTCAAAGTCAAGCTGAATGTCAACTAAAGCCCGCTGCAGACGATGCTATTTTTCCTGCTGGATTGCTTGCAATTTAGTAAATTACTATCATTGCACCACTCAGCATTCAGGATTCCTAGTAATTTACTAAATTGCAAGCAATCCAGCAGGAAAAATAGCATCGTCTGCAGCGGGCTTTATAGTCATGCAACTAATAGTCGACAAATGACTCGACTATAGTCGGCTGTCAGTCAGCCAAAAGTCGACTTAGAAGTCGACTTTATGGCAATTAAAAGTCGACTTTATGATGATTAGAAGTCTACTTTATGGCGACCAGAAGTCTACTTTATGGCAATTAGAAGTCAACTTTTAATCAATTTTACGTTATTTATATTAACTACTAAATGTTTAATAGTGACTTGAAAACCTGATTGATTAAAGTTTTTATATTTTAATTGTATAATATTTACAATATACATATAGTTAAAGTCGACAATAAACCATTCTATAGATAGTAGACTAAATGTCGACTTAAACAGTTGACTTCAAGGTGACTAAAAAATGTCGACTATCAGCCGGCAAACAGTCATTTGTGCTATGTGGGTAAATATGTATTAGGAGGTTCACAAAGTCAAGAGCATAAACAGCTATGACATGAGACATTTTGAAGGTCCGACATATTATATTTCAACGAAATTCAGTAAACAGACGTCATTCTTTGTGTACAAAATTATAAATTTTTAATCGAAATAGAAATGGATCGCAACAAGTTGTTTCTTCATTATTTTGAAAAAAGTGCAGCTGAATCTCATCGATTACTTGCGGAAACTTATGATGACTCGATCGACTCCATCAGAGAGAAGTAGACAGTGGTTTGAACAATTCGAAAAAGGTGATTGTGACATCAATGATAAAGAACGATCGGGTCACCCGGTAGGAGGGCGCATATTATGACCTATTGAATTCGAATGAAACATAAATAGATAACATAAATAAGGCTCCTATATAAAACAATTTAAATTGACGAATGTGATGGTAGATAACATTTAGGCAATGTGAGCAGTCACCGTTGGGGATGGTGTGAAAAATTTTCTTAATATACATATATCGTATTGGCGTTCAACGTATTGGTTCAACGGAAAATTACGATTTCTTTCGAGAAACATTCAATAACTTTCATTTCGTTTTTCATCGATTGCATACTTTCAGTAAAGTATTTCTATCAGGGATTGTGTAAAAAAAATCTCAAGTAAATTTATGAAATTAATTTGTGATTGGTCCAATCAGCGTGAAATGGAATAAATCACCTTCTCCGGAAGCTTTGGGCAATTTCGAGTTACTGCTAGACGAGGAATTGGCGGTTCAGGATGAGAGGGAGAGTTCATTGAGCAAGTATCGCGGCTCTTCTTTCAACAAATGGAAATAGACCTTGTTTTTGTATATTCGTTCGCCCTAATTTTTTCCTAAAATTTCATCTCAACCGTTTCACAGCAACGGTACTAGATATAGTTGATGCGCCCGTTATTAATAGTTTGCTCCGAGTATACCAGTCGGTCGCATCAAAGCTGTGGAGAGAAAAATCCTTCGACGAGACCTACGTTAACAAACAAAGTTTATTCACTGTATAAATATGTTACATAATAGACTACGCAAGAGGACGCACGCGCGCGTCGACTGCGAGGATGTAAAAATAATATAGGCAGTAATATTATTTCAGTCTTTCGCGCGTGTAAGATGACAATAATATTATTATTCGTTAGCATGTTCTTTTTTCTTCTTTTCTTTCAAAAGGCCGTTTTGAAATCGCAATGCGAGGTAGAGATCCTTGCGATCCTTGCGTATATTTTGTACAAGCTGTGATGTCGCGCATATCGTACAGAACTATCGTATAATTTATGGCACAGTTTCCCGAAATACGGCGATTACGCTAAAACCGCAAGACGAGCGAATGGCGAACGCGAGATTTGGAAGTTGAAGCTCGGAAGATCGGTATTTTCATCTCCATGAATGACAAGAATATAAGGAGAACGCGAGGAAAGGAGGGAGGTTTCTAATCAAAAGAAGGCTGAAAACGATCGCATACTTTGTATCAACAATGGAACTTTCTTGCATTCGTATTTTCTTGCTAACAATCTTTTCCCGTTTTTCCTCAAGAAAGAACTTACGACGGGAGAGCAGTAAAAACCCAGTAAATACTAATAATTACATAACATCAATATTATAATTTTCTACTCAATAATGTAATTGTTATGTACAACGTGTGTTATATCACATTTATATTATTGAGTTGAAAATTATAATATTGATGTAATCATTATAGTTAATATTTATTGAAAAGAACCAGACGATATTAAGGAAAGTAAAAAGAAAAACCGTAAAAAGAGAAGCAGGAAGATGCACACAAAATGTTTGCTTACGAGGCGTAAGAAAGTTCCACAATCTGATTTCGCGTTCGTTGCTCGTTTGCTCACCATGTATCCGCTTTTACAGAAACGGACATGCGCGTTAACGATATGCCGTTTCTGTATTAATTAATGTGGTATGTATATACAGCGTATTGCGTGCGGTTACAAAGTAAACGTTACACGTGTAAAATACATGAATTATTGCTAAAATGATTTCGATTAACGCATAATTTTTGTATCGCTAAGTCGCTAGTCTGTGTACGAGTGTGCGTAAATATACGTGTCCACAAAGACGGATATGATATGTCAAACTCTCGAATATATTTCGCAAGATAACGATAACCATTGAACGAATGAATAAAATATAAACAGGAAACACAGTAAAAATATCTTATGGCAGGAAGGCAAATACCGTTCTCTTCTTCTCTATCGCACCTAACACTGTCGTAAATTTACAAATACGATATATATAAAACCGTCACCTTTCTTAAAGAAACGGGAAGTATCATAAATTTAGCAATAAAATATATGTGAGACGCAGCCTTTGGTAAACTGCCATATCGATTATTCGATTAAATTATGAATAACATATTGCATGCTGTTAACGATGATGTTAATAATATGATATTCTTTGATATCACAATTACAGATAAATGCACATCTATAAAGTACTTATAGTTAAAAAAAGGCCTAACACCGCCGAGACACTTATCCTTTTAATGCTTATCTTTAAGTTATAGTCATGTACATTGTTTTGCAAGCATAATGTAGTACAAGCGTAATTTCATAGAAACTACGCTTATACTAAATATTTACAAAGGTTGCTGTGGTATAATCCCTTCTCTGTACATTACAAACTACGAAAATGTATAGCAGGCACAAATGGTAAGTTATTGCGCTAAAATCTGTTACGGAACGCGCCACAAGAGACATGATTGCATGTTGTTTTTCTCCCAGTATTATCCAGTGAGAAAGTTTAGTTATGTCTTATGAATAAAAATATGGCCAATGTCATTATTGTTATAATAAGCACTCGCTAAACTTTGGACGGGGATTAAGAGCTCTCAATGCACCTATTTAAAGAATAAAAACTATCCTCTAACGCACTTCTTCCGTCTCTTTTCCGGCTCACTCGTTCTTCGTGTGATGGGTCATGTTCCGGTATACAGAGTTCAACGAATTATTAATATACATACAAGTAAATCTTACGCAAGTACCAATAATATGTCTCTATCAGTCTAAAAATCTTGCCACTTGTTGCTCTTGAGCTTAACACATTACAATAATTACATAAAACGTAATGTAATTATATTATTTAATTGCATAATATAATTATATATGATCTCATCATGAAATAATATATAATTATATGTATATTATATACATAAACTAAAATAATCATAATTACAATGAAAATTAAAATTAAACTACGACTATTTTCAATCTTAGATTAATGGGTCATTATCGTAATGTTATCGAAATATAAAATTATTTCTTTGGAAAACTCTATTACGTTCCGAAATTAAAAATTGAAAGAAGAATTATATCAATAAAATTATTTTCTTTCCGTAACAGAAGTTTTATTCCAAAAGTAACCGTTAATCGATTAATGGGAGTTATGATAAATTGTTGTAAATTCTAATGATCATATGACTCTCACAAAATAGAATTTTATCACGTCAAAGATTGAAAAGTGCAAAGTCCAAAACGTGAGGTTACATGAGAAATACTTGCTTTGATAGAATTTCGCTCTGGTACGTTCTACCTGTATAATTTACCTTAATCCTTTGAATGAGATTACACGCTGGTCTTACAGTATTTCTAATAAAACTGTTCGTTATTATGCTAACGAGTAATTAAAGAGCGAATTCGATTAATACACTGGTACAAATTAAAGTAAATTGTATGTAATGTGTATATACATGCATTCATCTATTTAGATGTAAAAATATATATGCAGATGTAAAACATAAATAAGTGCTTTATGACTAAAGTGCTCTAATGCATTCTATTGAACAATATGATAACCCATGTCGGGCATCCAAATTCATCCACTTATTATACAAACGCCTTTATACATAAACTAGTGTACAAATATCTTTAATATGAACCAGTATGCACATGGCATATCCACTTGAATTTGCTATATGACAGAGATTATTGCTGTAAAAGCTAATATATTTTTGCCATATTTTTCCTTATATCGTTTCGTAAGAACCTACTGTCGATTCCTCAATTACTATTTGCCTGTTTAAGTTTCCGTTGAAACTGCTATGCGCAATGGTCGATTTAATTGACCGTAACCAATAAGATTTAACTATCGATAACAAAAAAGAATACTGAAATAAGATAAATGCAAGAGTAGAAGCACCAGAGCATTATCTGTCTCTACTTCAGGCCTTTCCTCAAGGCACCGGCGACGGTGGTGGCGGTAGGGGACTAAAATATGTGGACGATCTGGAACTCGGGGACGGTGGGCAGCTGATCGCCGCGTCACTGTGATAGACAGACCGCGGAGTTGGCGGCGGTGGAAACGGTTCGCTCTCGTAACGATAGCGCGCTGGATAATTACTGTCCGACTCATCGCAGACATCGGTGCTACACGGAGTTGGCGGTGGCGGTTGATTGATACTCCTGTAGTGTCGATATGGCTTATAACGCGACGCGTTGCTGCTCGAGCAACGCGTCGAGCTAACGATTGTCGCTGGACTTGGAGGAGGATTCAGAGTTTCCTGAGGATATCCACCCGCGGAACTACCCCTAGTAGAACTTGATGCACCTAGGTAGAACGTAAGAATTGTATAAGTAATAGTAATATCAGGCAATAATATCGACGATAAATTCAGCCGTTTTCGACAACATTTCTTAAACATAAAAGAATCTTCCGTTATAAAAGTATCATAAAAATATTAGTTACAGTACGGAGAGGGGGGGGGAGGTATTGTATTAAATGCGAAGTATAGCATTTTAATACCTAATTATAAATCGTTTATCGACTTTAAATACGTGAATTTGCTGACGATAATGATTCCATCTAAACGAAACTGTTATATGTATGTTCGAAAGTAACGGCGCGCAGGATAGGTGGAAAACGGTATATGAATTCACGTATTAAATAAAAATTATTGGGCCACCTACATCTTGCTCGGACCTAAAATTTGACATTCCCGTTTCTTATTTGAAAAATATTATTTCTCCGAAAAAAGTTACTTTGTCTATATGAGTTTATGTTTCCTACAAAGTTGATTTAAAGATGTACATGAATTTGCGATCTATCCCAGTTAGACAGCTTTAATTTCAAGATACACTACCTGTAATATGACTGCGATCATAACTCGAGCCAAGACTACTTCCGTTCAACATGGACATCCTCACGCCTGCCATCCCAGCCTTAAGACCTCCACTTCCTCCTCCGTCCTTCCTGTTGTTCTTTTGCGAAACAAACATCGGCATCACCATTCGATTGTTTGAACTAGATTTTGGTGATAATGGATCTCCCGCTGAATCGTGCAGTATATCGGGCAAACCCTCGTTTCCAGTAAACCTAATAACATAACATAACAATGAATATTTGCTTCCGCTTTATACGAAAGATTCATTTTCCTATGTTACCTTCTATATTAAAAATTCCGTTTGAAATTATTAAAGTAAAAAAAAGCAACTGAAAGACTTTTTATCCAGCTAGCATTATAAAATAATTAGCGTTTTGAATCAAAATTATCTCAAAGTTATATGTAAATTTCTCAGTTATTTAATAAATACCTTCTGCGGCAGCAGTAGTAGCTTAAAACAATCGCGATGAACACGGGCAATATCACTAGAAAGATGATGATGTAGGTCATCTTGGATTCGTTGATCTCAGGGCCGGCGTTCTGCCGATGCGGATTGTGCGGGCAGGCTGGCGGTAGCTCGTCACTGCCGTCGGCGCAGTCGTCCCATTCGTTACACTTTAACGCCCCGGAAATGCAGACGCCATTTCCGACACACTGAAATTGCCCGCTCTGACAGCATTGCGCCTCATCCGAACCGTCCGGACACTGTTGAGTTCCGTCACATACCCAGGACAATTCTGCGCAGGAACAAACGCAGAGTAACAATATATAATTATGACATATTCAAATTAAAAAGGAAGTGTTACGAGCAAGGCTGTAAGAATGAGCTAACGGCCAGTACAAGATGTTAGTTGAACTCAAAAGCAATTTTAATCATAAATGCATACAACGTTTCGACCTAACTTGGTTTCGTCCTCGGTAACAAACTTGGAACAACTGGTCCAATTTTACGTAGGAAGCAGTTTACATTTAAAAAAACATTTAATTATTCGCTGACTGACTGTTAGTTTTTTCTACTGCTTTTTATATGCTTCACAAGCCACGAGTATTGTAAACGCCAGAGAATGAAAATAGTAAACTGCTTCTTATGTAAAATTTAAACTAACGGTTCCAAGTGTGTTGCCGAGGATGACCAAGTTAGGTCGAAACACGCAATGTGATTTAGGAATAAAATTGTCCTCGAGTTCAACTAATCTCTTGTATTAGTTCGTCAGTTGGTCATTAACTTATTCTTATAACATAAATCATTTGTCTTTATACAGGCAATTTGGGGTAATCGAGCGTATTCGCGAACTTTATAAGAGGTCTGAATATTGACGCTGGTTTTCAAGCTCGACGGCGAAACTTATGACAAATGCAATCATGTTTGTGTACATCATGTTTTCGAACTATACATTGATTGTACACCATTGTTAACTTTTAATTTGTAGTCGGCTTAAATTGTAATACTGTTAATTTTCTTGCGCTGACGAGGACTCTGTGATACCCGAAACATTCGCATTTTAATTATTTTATAAATACACTGTTCTTATCGCCACCTTAATGCTCGTTTGTGTTGGCCTTTTGTTCCCCAGTTGTTATTTATGTTACGAGCTTGTCATGACTGTATTAATTTACATTTGTAATTGTTGAAGAGAAATGAGTCGCACTCACCGATACAGTGATTCTGACATTTGAATTGATCGCGGGAGCACGTGGGACATCCCAGCTCGTCGCTGCCGTCCGAACAGTCGGTTTGCCCGTCGCACTTCCACGTGGCCGGTATACAATCCTTGCTCACGGCCGCGTTCGGCGCGGCGCACGTGAAGTGATCGTTCCCGCAGACAGGCGCCGCGCGACAGGTTCGGCCGTCGTCGGACAGAACCAACGACTTGGGGCACGAGCAACGGGGCGACGTGGCGGCCTCGTCGGCAACGGTATTAGTCCCGACGCAGAAGTGCGAGCAGCCGCCGTAGTCGTTGAACGGGCTGCACACGTGCGTCTCCATGAGCGAGTCCTCGGGCATGTTGACCGCGATGAGATCCGTGAACGCGCGGCTCGTCGTCAAGTTCCTGGGTCGCCTGTTAGTCCCGTCGAACGTCTTGTTGATCCGCTCGATCATCTGTCGGGGTTCACACGAGATAAGCATACATATTCCTGCGCTATCCCGATCTTAAATTTTACTATACAACTGTGACTTACCTGCGCATCCCGATCGTACCAGTAGATGTAGTCGAAGAGGACAGTCAAGTGCAGTGCCGAGCCCTGTGTGGTGGAAGTGAGAAGTTTGCGATTACCGCCCTCGAAGTTGGAGCATTCGATGTGCCTGCCGTACGACCAGTACACGATGTACGTTGTGGTGTCCACTGTCAAGCCGGTAGGCGGCTCCTGCAAATCGCCCGCGATTGTATGGCGCTCCTTGCCATCCATCTTGCTGCGCACCACCCGTCTCTTGCCAATGTCCGTCCAGAAAAGCAATCGCTGCTGTGAGTGGATGGCGATGTGACGCGGCTTCTCGCCGTCGCCCTTCACCACGACGCCGAGAGCCGAGCCATTGTCCAGTCGCGTAACGTTGAGTGCGTCGTTCGTCGAGCACGTCCAGAAGAGCAGCCTACCCAGTGGGTCCAGCGCGAGGTCGAACGCATGTCCGTTTCCGATGGTGATCACAATCGAGCTGCTGTGCTGCTGCTGCTGCGTCCGGTTCTCCAGAGCGCGGCGGATCGTCGAGCGACCATCGATCCAGTAGACGTGCTGCGTCACTGGATCGAACTCGATCGCGCGGACGTTCTTCAGGCCCTGTATGCGTAACACCACTTCCGCGCAGTCGTCTGTCTGATCGGGCAGATAACGCGCGATCGCGGTGCGCAGACTATAAATCATAAAGTGTCGCGGCGCCACGCAGGTCCGGTTGTTCCGCGCCAAACTGTAGTGCGTGGGACACGCGCATCTGTGCGAGACGGACGCACTGTCGTTCGGGCCCGGCAGCGCGATGCAGAAGTGGCTGCAATTGCCGTTTGTGATCGCGCACGGGTTTGAACCGGCCTGCCGCGACGCGTGAAACACCTTCAGGTCCGTCACCGACGCTAGATTCGTGTGGATCTTGGTGCGATTCGCCCCGGTGATCTTGTCCGCCCTCTCGATGTCGCCCGTGTTCCAATCCGCCCAATAAATGTAGTCCCGATACTGCGTAACGCTGAACGGATAGACTATGTTACGCGAAATGACGGCATCCTTCCGATTTGTCAGCAGATCGTAAGAGGTGATTGCAGGCGCGGAGATGTCAGCCCAGTACAATTTGCGCCCCGCATAGTCGATTGTCAGACCATTCGCCTTGCCGATTTTTGTGACAATCATTTGCCGCTGTGTCCCGTCCAGCAGTGCCCTCTCGATGCTGCCGGTATCGCCCCATTCGGCCCAGTACAGATGACTAGCAGCGGACAAACGGGTATTAAACAAGATTAATGTGCTGATCATCAACTAATCTCTAGATTAAAAAAGAAATATTTTCAGGTAAACATTTTTAATTTTTGTGTATGTAAATTTTATGTGTTACGATACACAAAGATTTTCAATAATTGGAGCACCATTGTAACAGCACATTCCTGAGACTAAATCAAGTAAAAAAGTCCTGTACTACTTTTCCCTCCGACAAACAGTTATCGAGATACCATAAGCTAAACATTGAAAAAGTTATAAATCGTCTCTTGAATACCTCAAAAAGTTTTAGGCAAATAAAAAAAATGTTTCAGACAAAAGTTGTAAATATTAATTAGTAGAATAAGATAGTATAATAAACAATAGGGGGTTTCATTTAGAAAATTGAAGGTGACCTTCACATGACCTTCAAATGACTATCAAAGGTCAAGTCAATGGCACCACCTTATGTCCCCCTTCGAACCAAACAACTTTTGTTTGAAACGTTTTTCCGTATCTTTCATATTTTTGAAGATATTTGCGTGGATCGTTCAAAATGAGACATCCTGTATAATTTTGCTGAAACATATTTAAAAATCTCTCTTGACTGACCCCGTTTCATCGTCACTTCATCAATATTTCAGTAAAAATTGAATGAGAAATCATTTTCATTAAAAAGTAATGCAACTTTTAGTCAAATTCAATAAATTTCATAATTCTTTTTATTACCGTTTCAACAGTACACTTTAACATTCCTTGTATCTCACAGTGTGACATTGATTGTCATGGAGTTACAATTTATTTTGAAATATTCAGTCAGTGACTTTTCAATAACTTTCATCAATTTTCATAGTATTTTCGTAGCCCTTGAAAATATTTCCATCAAGAAGTAGCACAAGACTTACCCTCTCTGTGGATCCACAGCAACATTCTTAGGCTCGTCAAGATTTTGCCACAAGAGTATTTTCCTGCTGCCCCCTTCTATTCTTATCATCTCTATTCTATGTGAGGTGGTGTCACTCCAGTAGAGATTGTGCGCGATCCAATCAAATGCAATACCGTCCGGTGCTTCTAAGCCGAGATCGACTATCTTTTCGATATCCGATCCATTTATGAAGACACGCGTGATAGTTTTTAGCTTATTATCCGTCCAATAAATGCGGTTCTCAGACAAGTCAAAGTCTATAGCGCTAGAAAGATTAAAAGAAATAATGTATACAATGTATATCTGTCAAAAATTAAATTAAGTGTAAAAGAAAATAGCTAAAATTCTAAAACAAAGCATAGCTGCTTCAAGAAGTTCCTCTTCTGAGAAACAAATCTCAAGTCAGGTGTGAAATTTTTAGTAAGATAAGGATCCATTTTTTGCACGTACATTACGCTCCTAATTTCGCGAAAAACTTTAATGATCATTCCAATATGTTTCGCATTCAATTTTCTAATTTAAATTCACAGCCGTACTAACCTGGCTTCTCTGATACCGGTAACAGGTATGATGTTATCATTGTTAACGTTCTCGATGCTGATCCGGCCAAGATTCTCCTTCCTGGAAAAGAGCAGGAAGGCGTCCGGTACGACGCAAGTACGCTTGTCCTTGGTCAATTCGTAGCCCATCTGGCAGGCGCAGACGTATCTGAAATATTTTTTATGTTACGCTACAATTCCCCCTCCCCGAGTACAAATCATGATTTAGACATTCGTTGCTATACTGTTTGTACAATTTCTGCCTGTTTAAAAAGTCTCTCTGATCCAGAGCTTAGTATCTTTTTTAAAAAATATCAATACAGATACAGTTACGGATACAGCTACTATCTGTATCTTTCTCTGGAAAAATAATTCAGTGCATCTTGTATCTATATTTAAATCGCAGGATTTCAAGAAATGTAACACCCGAGGGAGAAACGCTGACCAAAATCTTGTACACCAATGCCCACTAATGCCCAGTGGGCATTACTTTATCTTATTACCTTCTTTATCTGGTTTGATCTTAGCTCATATTATTTTATCTTTATAATGCCCCAGCAAGGCCTAATGCCCAAACCAATGCCCAAGAAATTCCTAGAATGCCTAGTAATGCCCAGTAATGCCGCAAATCTGTACACTACAATGCCCTCAGCGGTTCCCCCCTCGGTAACACTTGTATCTGTATCTCTTCACTGAATTCATTGGAAATTTATCCTTGTATCTGTATCCTTGATGAAAAAAAAAGTCAAGATACCGAGCTCTGCAGTCCAATCTATCCACAACGACATCGGTGAATCTCACGCGGGGAATTCTAGCGATGCGCACCTGTTGTTGGGCTTGTTGAAACAGAGGTGGCTACATCCGCCGTTGTTGCGAGCGCACAGCGAACTGCTGGCGTTCATTTGGCCGAGATGTACAGCCTTGATTCCCATGACATTGGGCACCTGGTCGACAATGACCTCGCGCTTGCCACCGGTGAGCTTGTGCGCGCGGTCGATGCTGCGGCGCTGCCAATCGGTCCAGTACAGATAATCGCCCAGCAGACTGAGGCCGAACAGATGCGGCAGATTGTCGGTGATGACCTCGCGCCGATCGGTCCCATCCATGTTGGACACCTCGATCTTGTCGGTCTTCGCGTCGCACCAGTACATCTTCTTGCGCTCTAGGTCCAGGGCGATGCCGTTCGGCCAGACGATGTCCTTGGTGATCAGTAACATGCGCTCGCTGCCGTCGAGATTGCTGCGCTCGATCTTCGGCCGCTTCTCGTTCCAGTCGGTCCAGAACATCCAGCCGTGCTCGGGCGCGACCGCGATCGCTCGTGGCTCGAACAGGTCCTCGTTCACCAACACGCGCCGATATTTCCCGTCTAGCCGCGCCACTTCGATCCGATCAGTCCCGGTGTCCGTCCAATAGAGATTGCGGGCGATCCAGTCTATCGCGATTCCATCTGGATTAGCCACCTGCAAGAATCAAAAGACGGAAAGTTACAGTTAAACGCAGAACGAGAACATAATAAAGGATTGCAAAGTTCATACCTTAAAAGATATTCAAATTAAAGGGGGGAGGAAGACCAACGATGAGAATTTTCTTTTGTTAGAAATAATCTTCCAAATTGAGAGGAAATTAAGTTCGTTTAATGCACATGCAAATGCAAATTAAAGGGGGAGGAGGACCAACTATACAAGCACTAAATTGTGAATTTTATTTTTCTAAGTACTTGAGAGTCAATTACGAGAGAGTAAAAAATATAATAATGTTGACAGCTTCTTAGTGTTTAAATTAGTAATTTAAAAGATTATTTCCAACAAAAGAAAATGCCTCGCATAAAGAACACGTGGCACTAAAAGGAGCATATCTACGTCTACGTTCCTACAAAGAGGGCTTTCGAGAATAATGCAAAAATTAGATCGAGGCAGAGACAATCGCCACTTGCACACCTCCGTGGAGATCACGTCCTGCTGACTCGATCCGTCAAGAGGTGCTCGTCTGATGGCGTATGTCTGTTCGTCGGTCCAGTACAGCAACTCTTCCACCGGATCGAAGTCGATCGCGATCGCGTGCTTGATGCCGGTGAGCGGCAGCACAAAGTTGGTGTAATCGGGCGAGTCCAGGGATATCCGACAGATCTCCGTTCGCTGGACGATCAGCAGCAGCTCCTCCGGCCTCTTGGCGCACGTGTATTTGTCGATCAGTTTGACGCCGGTGGGACAGGCGCAGCTGTAACCGGGCTTTGCCGAGCTCAGAAGGCACAGGTGAGAACAATTGCCATTGTTTCGCCTGCAAGGATTATCACCGCCCGGCTGTCTCTTCGCGTCCCAGACTTCGATATCGCCTGAAATCAAAAGGTGCTTGAATATGACATTTAAATTTGAGAAACATTAATACGCACGGAATAGAATAAAATATGTGAGAGATCACGATCTCTACATGAAAGATTAATACAGGGTGGGTCTTAGCTGCTGCGCGGGCCCTTTTACCATGAGAGAGGGATTACCGACTGCAACTTTAGTTCGCCGAACGGCACAAGAGGGCAGCTGCTTAGATCTCAGGGATGTTGCGGGCAAGTCGAAAACTTGTTCCACTTACAGACATCACGCGGAGAAAAATAATTTGCTAACACAATATATCTTATGTAAGCTTAAGTAAATTTTGTCTGTTATTTTATGATAAAGTTATTTTCTCTTCTATGGACAACTATGTGTTAAGAACACTAATTTTATTGAAAAATTATTGTGCGAAATATTTAGCTAAAGAAATAAAATAATTTCTGTTCTATTAAACGGT